CTCATCCAAACGAGCCAAATAACTTCAGGTAAGCATTGTTTGCAGTTGGAAAGGTGGTTTATTTATTACTGTTTTTGTGGAAGTTGATGGGTTGAGGGGGGTCGTTGTTTTTTGTTGCTTGGGGTTTTTTTTTTTTGAGGGGGATGGATTGTCGCTCTTTTTGTGACTGCTCTGTTGTTCCAATCTGTTTCAAATTTTTGTAATAAATTGTTGTTTATTGCCAGCAAAAAAATTATCTGTTCATTTGATATTGGATACCTGTCCATTTCACCAATGTTGGTGCTCATCCGTACACTCGCAAACACACTTTTGAGTTTCTTCGATTTCTCAGAATTTTGCCAAGTCTGATTCTGTAAGGTAAATTTGAAGTGACGATATCTTGGGCGATTCTGAAAGTAGATGAAAAATGGAAAAATTAGTGGTTCAGATGATACAGAATTTATTTTGCTTAGATTGGTACGCTGTATCAGTGGGTAGTGCAGTGATATAACTCGATGATTAGATGAATATATTTTCAAGTTCCTTGTGCACACCACTGTATAGTAGGGTCACGGCAAGACTGGGGCCGCTGTGATAACTTTGAGGTCCAGGATCGCACTGGGTGGGTTTTTTTAACAAAGTTTTTCACGGTTCTCAGGAACTGGCTCACTGTTGGACCAACTGGCCATTCATACATCGTTGCTGCTCCTCACAGAAGACAGGTGTTGAAAATGGACATTAATTATCACTTAAAATCGAAGCTATCACGGGTTGTATCAGTTGTCTTGCCGTGAAGACAGATAGGGGCAGTAATTGGTATGTTTCGTGCCGGGCCACCAGCAGCCGACAGATTACAAAGTGCATAGAGGCAATAAACTCTTCACGGCATGAAGGCAAAGGACGTAGATCTAAAGGGAATAAAGTTGTGGCTGAATATTCCTCTCGACTCGGTAAAACTGATGGTTTGGCATGTCATTTTGTATTTACTTGTCTCATGGCGTTCTTACTTCTGGACAGTCAGCAGCAGATTCTTTTCTTCTCAATGAGTGGATTAATAGGCGTACCCTAAATAGAATGATCGTATTTTCCTTCGTTTTTAGCTAAGAGACATTATTCTGTTTCTGCTTTTCTCTCTCTCTCTCTCTCTCTCTCTCTCTCTCTCTCTCTCTCTCTCTCTTTCTCTCTCTCTCTCTCCCTCTCTCTCTCTCTTTCTCTCTCTCTTTTTCTCTCTCTCTCGCTCTCTCGCTCTTTCTCTCGCTCTTTTGCTCTCTCTCTTTCTCTGTCTCTCTCGCTCTCGATTTCTTTTTCTATCTATCTGTAAATATCTCTTTCTATCTCTTACTCAGGTGGGGGGTTTTCAAAACACATTGACATCACTTGAATGTCATGTCCTCTAGCGGCAAAAAGAGACCACTAAGCAGGCATCAGTTCTTTCCCCTGGATAAAATCGCTCTTGTGCAGTTACTTGTATTACCGCCACCGGAAATGACGATAATCTTGTGTCTGCTTTTAAGTTATGCACTCTGAGTCATTGAAAGGGTGGGTATAATTTTATTTTACCCCAACATTTAGAAGCAGATTTTTAAAAAGTGGTTATATTATATTGTTTTGGTTGAACTTAGTCATCGCCATCGTTTATTATTGTGTATGTTCATATGTGTGTGTATGTGTGTGTGCGCGCGTGCGTGAGTGTGTTTGTGTGTGTGTGGGTGTGGGTATGGGTGTGTGTGTGTGTGTGTATGAGTGTGTTTATGGTGTGTGTGAGTGTGTGTTCGGGTGTGTGTTCGGGTGTGTGTTGTGTGTGTGTACTTTT